GACATGACGAAGTACCAGCAGTGCGCGAAATCTTTGCTTTAGGTGCAGAACGGGGACATAAGTTCAAGTCGAAGAAGCTAAAGAATCAGCAGGGCAAATAAGTGCGCATGAACACCATTCTGTTTTTTTATTTTTCTATTTTTCTGTTCCCGAGAATAGATTTGGAACAGAAATTGGTTTGGTAACGTAATTTTATTTTTCTATTTTTGGAACAAAATTTGATTTTAGAAATGGGTTTGGAACATAAATGAGAAGTAAAAATTTTCGACTTTTATATTTTTGGAACAGAAATAAGAAATAAAAACTCTTCTCATCGCTAGCTCTTGCTACTAGCTGGTTGCCCACCCACCTCTCGCCGCCGTCCATCGGCCGCTACTCGCCGCCGCCTACCGCTGCCCACCAAATGCCTCCTGTTGCCATTGGCCTCCTGCCGCAGTCTACCGTCCTTCGCCGCTGCCCGCTGACCACCTACCACTGCCGTCCACCACTTATCGCCCACCTCTTACAGTCTGCTGGCAGCCACCATTTGCCGTCCTCCGTTGCCGCCCGACGTCGGCAGCCTCCTACCGTCGGTCGCCTCCCGTCGCCACCCGCTAACTACCTCCCGGAGCCGGCCGCCGACGTTCGAGAGGGAAAAATATTATGTCGTGATCAAATGAATTTTTATTTTGGGAACATAAATTTTGTGTCGTTATCGAACAAGTATTTTGGTTTAGAAACTCGTCTAGTGAATAGAAATAGAAAAATCTATTTCTTGCAAGAAATTGATTTCTGGAATATAATGGTTATCATAGGCGCATGATAACCATTACGTTTCTTCATTTTTATGTTATTCTGTTCCCGGGAAAAAGTTTGGAATAGAAATCCATTTTGTAACGTAATTTCACTTTTCTATTTCCAGAATAAATTTTGATTTCAAATGAGAAGTAAAATTTTTTTACTTTTCTATTTCTTGAACAAAAATAAGAATTAACAACTCTTTTTATCATTTGCCCTCGCTACTAGTCGGCTGCCCACCTGCCGCCCGCCACCCACCGTGACCGCCTCCGCATGTCCGCCGCCGCCTGCCGTCCGCTTCTCACCGCTGTCTGCCATCCTCTGCAGCTCATGGTTCGCTGACCGTCGTTCCTCGTCGTCCACCACCGCACGACATCGGCCACCTCTTGCCACCGTCCTCCACCGCCGACCACCTCCCTCCACCGCCGCCCACCTCCTGTCGTTTGCCGCCGTCCTTCACCGTTCGCCTCCCGCCGCCTTCTGCCGTCCTCCACCGGCCGTCATTTGTTGCCGCCCGCTATTCGCCCGATACCTGCCGGCCGTCCCCTGCAGCTACCTGCCGGCCGTCCACCAACCGATTGCCCGGGAGGGAGACTTTTTTTGTCGTTATCAAACGAATTTCTATTTCAGGAATAGAAAATTTGTATGATTATCATACGCGTATTTTTTCTTAGAAACTCGTCTAGGGAATATTTCTGGCTGGAAATTGATTTCTGAAACAGGGTGATTATCATTCGCAAATATGGACTTATGACTTATCAGATAGGAGAATCAGCAGCACCTCAAGAAAACAAAACTACTATTAGTCTCCGTGGTATGTTAAGAGCTCTAAGTGTGTTCATTTCATGTCAGTCTTTTGTGCAAGTTCAAAAAATTCTTCAGCAAAAGTAAGAAGAACCGCATGAGTTTCCCAAATAAAAATATCTGAAAAATGTCTAACGAGAAAAGATTTGAGTGGAGCGAGCCGAAACCCTAGACGCTTCATGATGCTTGGGGGCATTGGTGTGCAAGTTCCGACGAGCGGTGACAGACTAGAGCGAAGGCAGAGGCCAAAGCTACGACGACACAGGCATCGGGCCTCTTGTCTCGCCTCGATAAGATAGCGCCGCTCTTACCTAGGCTCTGGCCGTGTTGCACGACCATCATCGTAGCGAAGCATGGGTCACCCTGACCCATTCCACTGCCAAGCAAGGGTTGAGACACCTCATGCAGCCACAACAAGGATCAAACGACCTCCAACAGTGATGGTCGCAAGACCCTCCCAATGTTTTTTTTTTTTTGTAACCGAGGATCCGCCACCATTCCCCGAGGACGAGCCCGCACAGGTAATCGGGGCGCCTATACCTCGGGAGAAACTAGCCCAGCAACCCACCGTCAGGGCCCCCCACTTAAATTACGGAACCGAGTGGGGATTCGAACTCAGAACCTCTGAGGAGGGAAGGAAAGCGCCCACCAACTCGGCCATGCACAGGTGGGTGACCCTCCCAATGTTTTGTCCCCATTAAATCAAGAAAATTATCCAAAAAGTCCTAAAACTATTATATGGTAGCCAATTCAGTCCTAAACCGTTAAATTATGCCAATTTAGTCCTAAACCTTTTAACAATTTGCCATTCAGTCCTAAATCTTTTAACGAATTCCCAATGTAGTCCTTCCGGCTAATTTTGATCGGAAATCGCCAATGTGATAGTCTAGTCAGCGCCAGCCGTTCTACGTGGAGTGGTCGGTGCTGACGTGGATAATTTTTCAATATTTAAATAAAAATTCGAATTTTTATTGATTTTTTTATTCTTTTCTTTTTTTTTCTTTTTTCTTTTTTCTTCAATGTGCCACTAGGGCCGCCGGCGACCCTTTGCCAGCCGCGGCATGAGGGCTACGAACCCCTCGCCAATGGCGGCCAAGAGTTGTGGCCCTTGCTTAGGGGCCGATGGCCCCGCCGGCATAATGAAGAATAAAAGAAAAAATAAAAAAAATCAATAAAAAATATAAAAATACTCAAAAAAAATTTACAAAATAAAAAATTGTCCACGTCAGCTCCAATCGTGCCATGTAGGATAGCTGGTGCTAACTGGATCACCACATCAACGATTTCCGACCAAAATCAGCCGGAAGGATTATATTAGCAATTCGTTAAAAGGTTTATGACTAAATTGGCACATTGTCAAAAGGTTTAAGACTAAATTATCACATTTGAAAGGTTTAAGACTGAATTGGTTGGCGCACAATAGGTTTAAGACTTTTTAGACAATTTTCCCTCATTAAATCAGCTCAATCGTAGTTTCGATAAAAAAAAAAAAAATTCAGCCTAATCGTTGCCGTTTTTTAAAATTTACGTCAAGATCTACAAAATCTCTAACTCCATTGCATCTTGAAGGACGGCCCGCATCTTCATGCATATGTCTGGCCAAGTTGCCAACTCCAGAGAACTTCCTCATTGGCCGTGCGCCGTTCAGTGCAAGTTGAGATGGTCTAGTTTTGCGATGATTGGTCGACTCCAACACACTGACTTTGGTTTCAACCAAAAAGGCAGCGTGCTCGATGAAGTAACTTCGTGATCCAAGAGACTCGCTAAGTTGATTGTGGTACACGCTTCATCTTAAATGCTAGCCAAGCTTAGCATGTGAAGCCCCTAGAAGTTAGCCCTCGTGGAAATAGAATAATCGAAATTTTATGCTTTCATCATTGACTTCAAACTTATCACAAATCTTGATTCCCAGCTCAAGAACAGGAGAAACAGATATTTGGCTGTACGTATTTGAGTATTATATAATTTTTATTAAGTATAATAAGTATGGGAAGTATTCTGTCTTCATTACATATGGCCCGTTACAATTCAAATAGAATAATCATCGCAGGAGCTGAATGCACGTTATGAATAATTGGATTTTCTTAGCATTGATTGTGCGAGAAAGTCAGTGCGTTGGGAACGCAAAATTTCCTTAATTAGTTGCTTCACAAAATTCTTACCAATATAGCTGAAAGAAGCTGGATATTTTAAGCTCGATTTACAAAGTCAACATGTTAATTAGGCGATGCGGTAGGCAACAAGAGAGACGTTAAACAAACTTGTAAATTAGATCAGATGATACTAAGATGCGGGCTATGTTAACTACATCCAATTATAATTTTGACTGATAGTTTATAAATATGGATATCAGTCATATTTACATTGAGTTTAGTTTGCATGTAAGTGATGTTGATATCTTGTAATCCTTCAATCAAAGGTATTGACGAGGAAATTGGAGGAAAATATAGCCCGTAAGTTTAAGTCAGCACCTTGAAGTTGCCGTTGAAAGTCAAATAGGACCTTCCAATAGCACCAACATTTTATAAGCATTTCAGGAAAAAGTAGAAATTTTTTTTTTTTGAAATTTTCTCAAACTTGCTACTTGATGCGCTCATATATATAGATATATCTGTGATCGTACCTTCTCTTAATTGCTCATGTTGAGAAGAGATGGCATCCCTCAACTTCCCTTACTCTCAATTCTCTCTTATTCCAGCAATTTGTCTCCTCCTCCTTTTGTTCTTTCTCCATCGCTCCCCTTTCAATGCTAACCGTAACAATCCCATCTTTTCTCTCTCTTTCGCCTCCACTTCACCTGAGACCAGCAACCACACAGGACCACCATCAGTTCTAGTAAATGGGCTTCTTTCAACCTCAATGTACAAAAGCAGCTCTAGACATAACACCAATTATATCAAAGTGAGAATCGTTCTTCATGTAATATTAGCAATTAAGAAGAACGTCTTTCACTTTATTTTATCTTGTACTTGTTCGGGTAATACTAACTTGGCAATGTCTTTGCTGGTGTGTGGGGGAAGAAGAGTAGTTTGGACCGAATCGAGGATGATTTAGCCCGAGCCCGCGCGGCAATCAGGAAAGCCATTCGGTCCCGGAGTTATGCTTCCGATGGGAAAGAGACCTTCATACCCAGAGGAAATGTGTACAGGAACCCCTACGCTTTTTATCAGTTAAGTCCTCCTGTGAGTTCACTTAAAGTTCAGAGTTTCTTTTGTTTTTTCACATGGTTTGTGTTAATATCAATCTTGGTAGGTTTGTGTTCAGTGCATGTATGCATGTGTTTTTGTAAAGGCCATGGAATCAAACTTTAGATTACCTCACGTTAATTTGACTCGAGATTGTACACATTACAGTTTACTGGTTCTAACACAAAAGTCTTATTTCTTTCTTCTCCATTTTTTGGACTTAATTCTGGGCAGGAGCCACATGGAGATGATGAAGAGATTCAAGATATGGACGTATAGAGAAGGAGACCATCCTTTGGTCCATGACGGGCCGGTGAACAACCTATATGCCATTGAAGGACAGTTTATCGACGAGATGGAGGACAAGCGGAACCCGTTCAGGGCTCGCCATCCTGACGAGGCGCATGCCTTCTTCCTCCCTTTCAGCGTGACCAATGTCGTCAACTACGTGTACGAACCGATCCTCTCCATCCACGACTACAGGCGGGATAGATTACAGAGGGTCGTGCGTGATTATGTTCGCGTTGTTGCGGATAGACACGAGTATTGGAACAGAAGTGAGGGCTCAGATCATTTTATGTTTTCTTGTCATGATTGGGTAAGTATATTTCATAATTACTCTCCAGAATGTTTTCGAAATTGTACAGGAGATTGAATGGGTATATTCAGTGCTCGATTAAACTTGTCAAATCCGCCTAATAACCGTGATTGAATCAGCCAGTCTACTGGGGTTTTACAAAACACCAGTATTATAGTTATCACATAATTTATATAATGTGATCAGTTCGGTCCAACATGCCAGTGATTCAGTAGAAAACAAAAATAGGAAGTTAATTTGGTTTTACTTGTGTAGTTATATCTGAGGTCGGCAAGTTGATGAAATATTATACAAAAGTTTTTGTAGCAAGGTCAAATTGTATTTATCGTAACTGGCAAGCTTAGGCAAGTTAAAGTCAATTTCACACTGGTCAACATTATAATTAAACAAAGTGAAACTGTTTAAAATATTAAATAGCGCATTCGCTTAACAGTTTAAACTTGTAAAATAGTTGATGGTCCCGTAAAATTTCATATAATATCAGAGCACATGTCGAGGATTCGAATCAAGATACTCCATTTCATTTTCATACAATTTATTGTTTATAGCATTCTAATTGTTTTCCTGTTTCATGACTTACGCATGTAAGTACCGGCTTTCACTCTGTAAGAAGTGTTAACTAAATCATCTGAAAGATATGGTGGACAAAATCAATTACAATACTTTTCAAAAAATACAGAATATATTATTTCCTCCAATATCAATTTATTTCTTGTTTCTTCTGGTTAATTGTTTGATCCTTTTTCATGTTCGTGTAGGGTCCTGACGTTTCATCAGCGGACCCTGAGCTCTTCGAGAACTTCATCAGAGTCCTCTGCAACGCCAACACCTCCGAAGGATTCCGACCCAAGAGAGACGTCTCCATGGCTGACATCTTTTTAAGCTACGGTGAGCTCGGCCCGCCTCGCTTAGGTCTTGACCCTCGCAACCGCACAATCCTCGCCTTTTTTGCCGGTGGAGCCCACGGTTTCATCCGAGAGCTCTTGCTCGAGCACTGGAAGGACAAGGACGCCGACGTCCAAGTGCACGAGTATCTCCCCAAGGGACAGAACTACACTCAGCTGATGGGGAGGAGCAGGTACTGCCTGTGCCCGAGCGGTTTCGAAGTTGCGAGCTCAAGGATTGTGGAGGCGATCTACGCGGAGTGCGTCCCGGTGATCATTAAGGACAATTACTGGCTGCCGTTCAGTGACGTGCTCGATTGGAGCAAGTTCTCGGTTCGAATACCGGTGGACAAAATAAAGGACATCAAGACGATTCTGCAGGCGATCCCATTCGAGAAGTACATGAAGTTGCAGAAGCGGGTGGTGAAGGTCCGGCGGCACTTCGAGGTGCATAGGCCGGCAAAACCGTTCGACGTGATTCACATGGCGCTCCACTCCGTGTGGCTCAGGAGGCTGAACGTAAAGCTGGAGCAAAGAGATTATTGAGCAGTTCTTTATGTCCTGGTTCTTGTGTTCAAACAATTAAAAGGAGATAAACGAAAGTTTGATCAACAGGAAATAATGAAAATTAAGTTCGCAGAATGCTATTTGCCGTGCCCAAAAATACAGAGTTTTTTTCAATATTGATAAATTTCAATGAGTGTTTGTAAGCATCTAATAATTATTGGTAAAAGAAAATTAAACAATGACATTTTCCAAGTAACTTGTTGGGGGTAACATACCAACCTTTTTTAAAAATTACCAACTTCTTTTTATGATTTGCAAATTATCAATTTTTGTACTAACTTACCAACTTTATTTGCAAAACTTACCAATGCTTCAACTATATGAGTTCTATGTGAAATTGCGAAACTAAACTAATGAATTTTACTAACTTTTGTTAGATTAAATGATCGTATAGTTTTGAATTAACAACTTTCAATTGTGTTAATTAGCAACGTTTACCTGTTTTCTACTCACCAGCATTTAAACCAAAACTTGTTAGTGAACTAATAGGGAGAAAAACTGGTAATTCACAAGGATAGAGTTGATAAATCTAAAGTATTTCTAAGACAGAAATAAAAGTCGGCACATAATACCCACATCTAACAAAGTACTAAGCAAATTCCAAACGAAAAAAAAAAAGAGTACCAAATAAACATTGGTAGGTAACACAATAGAGAGTTAGTAACAGCAATTAGTTGGTAATTTAATCAGAAAAAAATTGGTAAGTCATTCAAACAGAGACTGATAAATTCAGACAGGAGTTGTAAATTTAAGATGTTGATAAGGAAGAAAAAAAGTAAAAAATAAGAAAAGCTGATGATTTCTATAACTTCAAAAAAGTAAGTAATTTCATAAAAGCGTTGATAAATTATTCAGTGATTGTCAAATTTTTTCCTATTTTACCTGCAGCTTTTTCACACTTACCAACTTTTTTCAGAAATCTATAGGTAAGGAAAAGTTAATTTTTATTTCAACCGAATGGTTGGAGACCCTACTGCAAGTTCAGACCCAATGAATGGCCGTTCTTGCAAACCTACCGAATATTTCTCAGGATCTATCCCGACACTCTAGTATAAACTTATGACTTGTCAGATAGGAGAATCAGCAGCAACTCAAGAAAACAAAACTACCATCAGTCTTCTTGGTAAGTTAAGAGCTCTAAATGTGTTCATTTCACGTCAGTCTTTTGTGCAAGTTAAAGAATGCTTCGGCAAGAGTAAGAAGAACCGCGTGAGGTTCCCAAATAAAAATATCTGAAAAATGTCTAACAGGAAAAGATTTGAGTGTACCGAGCTGAAACCCTAGAAGCTGCATGATTGCTTGGGGGCAGTGGCGAGCAAGTTCCTACGAGCGGTGACGGACTAGAGCAATGGCAGAGGCCAGAGAGCTGCGATGACGAAGGCATCGAGCCTCTTGTCTCGCCTCGATAAGGACAGTGCCGCTCTTACCTAGGCTTGGGTTGTGTTGCACGACCATCGTCATAGCGAAGCATGGGTCACCCTGACCCTCACCACTACCGAGCAAGGGTTGAGACACCTCGCGCAACCATAGCAAGGATCAAGCGACCTCCAATAGTGATGGTCGCCAGACCCTCGCAATGTTTTTTTTTTTTTTTTTTTTTGATAACCGAGGTATTCCACGTGCAATGGACTATTCCTCGGGGTGGTGGGGTACAAGACCAATGCCACCGGGTAAGCCCCCAAGATGTGATCGGCGGGAGCCCTCGCAATGTTTTATCCCCATTAAATTGAGAAAATTGTCCAAAAAGTTTTAAACCTATTATATGGCAACCAATTTAGTTCTAAACCTTTTGACAATTTGCCAATTCAATCCTAAACATTTAAATTGTGCCAATTTAGTCATAAACAAATTAAGGTTTTGCCAAGTTAGTCCTAAATTTTTTAGCGAATTCCCAATGTAGTCATTCTAGCTAATTTTGACCAGAAATCGCCGATGTGGCAATCTAATTAGAGCCGGCGATCCTACGTAGTTCGATCGACGCTGACATGAGAAATTTTTTAATTTAAAAAAAATTCAAATTTTTATTGATCGTTTAATTTTTTTTCTTTTCTTTTTTTCTTTTTATTTTTTTCTTCGATGTGCCGCTGGGGCTGCCGGCACAATGAAGAAGAAAATAAAAAAAATAAAAAAAAAATCAATAAAAATTATCCACGTTAGCGCCGACCACGCCACGTAGGACGGCCGGCGCTAACTGGACCGCCACATCAGCGATTCCAACAAAAATTAGCTAGAAGGACTACATTGACAATTTGTTAAAATGTTTAGGACTAAATTAGCACACCGTCAAAAGGCTTAAGACTCAATTAGCACAATTAAAAGGTTTAGGACTGAATTGGCCGCCGTACAATAAATTTAGGACTTTTTGGACAATTTTCCCCTATTAAAGCAGCTTAATCGTAGTTTCGACAAAAAAAAAAAAAGTCAGCCTAATCGTAGCCATTTTTTTTTTTAATTACGTCAAGATCTACAAAATCTCTAACACTATTGCATGTTGAAGAACGGCCCGCATCTTCATGTTCATGCATATGTCTCGCCAACTCCAGAGAGCTGACTTTGGTTTCAACCAAAAGGCAGCGAGCTCGAAAAGGTAATTTCGTGATCCAAGAGACTCACTAAATTCTAGGGAGGATATAGTGGCACGTAAGAAAATGAAATATGATTTCAATTCAACAAGTTGTTTCCCCAAAATCCTTCTCGAAAAATATCGATTATGTTCCCTATGGCACGAAGCAGCAATTCAACGTAAATGCTGGCCCCGGACATAACATGTGAGGCCCCAAAGAAGTTACCCACTCGAGCAAGAAAAAGAATTGGAAAATTATCATAACAATAGGTACATGGAGAACGCTTAACAAAATTGATGAATCAAATGGAGTGGCAATGTTATTGGGTGTTGAATATGGTTCGTCCAGCCAATTGAGTCCATCCAGCCAATTTTGGCCAGAATTTGCTAACGTGGACGTCAACCGCTGATGTGGGAAATTTTTATTAATTTTTTAATAATTTTTTTTTTCAATTTTTAAAATAATTTCTTTTTCATTTTTTTCTTTTATTTTCCCTCTTCTTCCTTTGCCGGTCGCCTAGCCTTTGGCGACCGGCCAGAGGCTAAGATTGGCGAGGGTTGGCCTCACTAGCCTTAGGCAAGGTCGCCCTTGCCGGGATTTGGCGAGGCTCGCCCTTGCTGAAGGCTAGTGAGGGCGAGACTCGACCTTGCTTGAAGAAGAGGGGCAACCTCGCTTGAGGCCGCCCCTCATCAGTCGTAGCCTTTGGCCGGTCGCTGGAGGTTAGGCAACCGGCAGAGAAAGAAGAGGGGAAAAAAAAGAAATTAAAAATATTTAAAAAATTGAAATTTTTATAAAAAAATCATTTAAAAAATTTCCACGTTAGCGATGGCTATGCCACATAGGACGACCAGCGTCCACGTCAGCGAATTCCAGCCAAAATTGGCCGGATGTATTCAATTGACAAGAAATAAAAAGGTTTAGGACTCAATTGGCAAATTTGAAAAGTTTAGGACTCAATTGACAAAAGCACAATAGGTTTATGACTTTTTGGATAATTTTCACCCAATAAGAGTATGCAAATTTTGTAAATCAATTTTAGTATATCAACTGTGATTATTTGCTCATGCTGACGAACCGCATCAGATGAGAAGAGAAAATGTATAACCATAACTTATAAAAGACAGACAACCAATTGGTTGCAGCATCATAAGATGAAGACTTGAGAGGAAAAGGATGGAAGATTGCTCCATGACCCTTCCACTACGACAAGTTAGAAATTTTTAGGGCCAAACATCACCAGTAAAATTCCACAGAGACCAAGAGACTTCCCAGGAATCATTGTAACGCGTACTGATGCCACCAATCAACAGACATGAAACCACGAAAAGACCTTGAGTTCTTGAGTGGGAACTTGTCTATTCTATCGCGTAGCCATGTTCTGATGATGGTCGCAAAAATCAACACGCGAAACCCCCCCCGAAGACCTTGACTTCTTCAGATTTGAACTGCACGCTCAACAAAGACCTTGACTTGTGGATGGATATGTACAAGATCCATCCATGCTAGTTTAAGTTCTTTTCTTTTCTGTTTTTTGGCTGGGATGCCGGTTCATGTTCTACTTGAATCATAAGACCGCGAAATTTAGAGATTAGCATGAGCAGAATATTCTTAACGATGGATATGGTAATAAGGTTTTAAAGGTGCTCATTGTAGGGGACCATGCACAGAGGGTGGAAAAAGGGCAAGGCCCTATTGTCAACTTATAATGCAGTGCAAGAGAGGATTTGATGGCACAGCCACATTATACCATCATTTTTCTTCAATTTTCTTATGCGTATTGCTGTTCTTTTCTTTTGGCCAAAAAAAAATGTAAATTGTTGCTACCTGCATTCAATTTGGTTAATCTTAGCCACCAAAAGAAACATGCCCCATGTCAAGGTGACAGCGTTAATACCGTCGTTCCGCAGAACCTAACCCTTTCTCGTTGCTAAAAAGTGCCCTTATGGCTCAAATCTTTTAAGAGGTTAATAGTGAAATATTGCATTTTTGAATGCCCTGGGTTTTGTCACAGTATGTGTAATCAATGCTATGGAAGTCGAGCATTTCTTTTAATAAAAAATACTTAGCAAGTGTGTTGAGAGAACTAGTTAACATGACAAGAGACAGAAGACAATCTTATTGGTGGGGTCAATAGTCATGCAACATAATGTTGAGAGATGGATCCTTATCACATTACATAAGCTAAGTTTAAAGATGACTCCACTTGGTGAAAGTGAAGTGAAAATGAAAATCTGCATATGGCGCTTACGAAAATTCAATCCTCATGGATTTCTACCAATAAATATACAATTTCTATCAATATATATGAAAGGTTTAGGACTAAATTAGTAAAATTGAAAGGTTTAGGACTGAATTGGCCACCGTATAATAGGTTTAGGACTTTTTGGACAAATTTCCTCTTTCTTATACCCTTTTTCTTTTTTGTATTTGGTGAGGTTAATTCTTTTTTTGTATGCTTCTGGATCAGTTGTGGGAGTTAAAGAATGCATTTTTACTTCTTGGTATGCATTAAAAATTCTTAAAGAAGTTATATTTTAAAGGTGCATGCATATGGAAAAATTATCATTTAGCTCCGTCTATTCTTATTGAGATACAATGGCAGGTTACATCGTTATCGAGCCGACTTGGATATGCAGTAAGAAGGGGGAAAATTGTCCAAAAAGTCTTAAGCCTACTGCACTTTTGCCAATTCAGTCATAAACCTTTTAAGTTTGCCAATTCAGTCCTAATCCTTTTCACTTCTTGCCAATTCAGTCCTAAACCTTTTCACTTCTTGCCAATTGAGTCCATTTGGCCTGCCGACGCTGACGTGGCCGCCGGCCGTTCAGCCAACGCTGACGTGGTAATTTTTAAATATTTTTTTCGAATTTTTTAATATTTTTTCTGCCTTTTCCCTCTGGCCTGTCCAGCCAGAGGCGCGGGCCGGCGAGGTCGACCTCGCCGGCCTCTGGCGAAGCTCGCCCCCTCCGGCCACTAGCAAGGGCAAGCCTCGCCCGCCGCTGCGAGGTCGGCCTCGCCATGGCGAGGCGGGCCTCGCAGTGGCGGGCGAGGCTTGCCCTCGCTAGTGGCCGGCGGAGGCGAGCTTCACCAGAGGCAAGCGAGGTCGACCTCGCCGGCCCACGCCTCTGGCCGGTCGTTGGACTAGTTAGAGGGAAAAGGCAGAAAAAAATATTAAAAAATTCGAAAAAAATATTTGAAAATTGCCACGTCAGCGCCGACAGGCCAAATGGACTCAATTAGCAAGAAGTGAAAATGTTTAGGACTGAATTTGTAAGAAGTGAAAATGTTTAGGACTGAATTGACAAACTTAAAAGATTTAGGACTGAATTGGCAAAAGTACAATAGATTTAGGACTTTTTGGACAATTTTCCCATAAAAAGGGCCAAGTTCTTCTTCGTGCGTGTGGGAAGGGTTTGCACTGTGCGACTATTAACGACAATTGACATAAACAAGCTCGGCTCAGTTTAAATAGGACTCGGTCAATAAAGTCTTTGAACGACCTGTTCAATCGTGAAAGATCATTGAAAGAGTAAGGACGTAAGATAGATGAAATGTTGAATGGAGAACAAAACGTTGGATCTAGAACAAAGGGTTAATCATCTTGACACTGACCAATTTAGTAGTTTGAATCACGTATATACGGGTTAAATCTAAGAATTATCCATTCACTAACCATGTCTATTCTTACTGTGTCGAGTGGACGCTTACGATTTTGAAACGGAACGAAGGGATAAGCTTCATGCCATTTAAGAGTCTTCCCATGGCGGGCTGGAAATCACCATTGTTATCGCAAAATGTAGGATGCCAAATTTACGAAAATTCACTTTACTACACTTTGACAAGTTACAAGTAGTATATATTATTTCATCTCGGCCATTAATTGATATCCTTCTCATATTTTTTCTTGTAGACATTGGTAGGCAGCATCTGCATTAATCTTAGTTGGAGCTTGCCTCAAGGAACCATGCTCATTATTCTTTTTATCAATGTCTTCCGCATATATCCCTTGCCGCTTTCAACTTCTCTTTAGAATGTACTAATCAAATTCAATCAAGTTTCTAAGACAGATCGATTATTTAAATGATATTTCACAAATCTATTCCAGCACGAGACACAGATCAATCGACAATTATATGAACTTTCTGTCTAAATACATGCTACAAGAAAAAATTTTAGACAGGTGAGAGGCAAACTGATAAATTGAGTGGGATCACCCACACTCCGTTAATGGAGGCGACACCTTCAAGTTGCAGTTGAAAGTCAAACACGATCTGTCTAACTAGAGCTTTCTTCGTTATAAAAAGTATACATACACAACAGAGAGTATATAACCAGGAAATAGGAAAAGATAACGCAAGTGTCAAACTTGCTTAATCAGTCACTTCTGTATTTGTATATATAGCTCTCTGCAGTCATACCTTCTCATGCTCATATCGGGAAGATGTCGTCCATGAACTTCCCTCATTCACAGTTCCTTCTAATTCCAGCAATTTGTCTCCTCCTTCTTTTCGCCTTTCTCTACTGCTCTCCGTTTGATGGAAATCATGATAATACTATTTCCAATCTCTCTTTTTCTTCCAACAGCCACGCCATAAGACCATCATCGTTTGCAGTTAATGGGCTTCTCTCAACCTCCATGTACAAAAGCAGTTCGAGACATAACACCAGTTTAATCAGAGTAAGTGTTGTCATGTGTATCATTGTGTAATCTATTCATATTACCAAGTAACAATGTCTATTTCAATGTTTGCGGGTTAACTTGGGAAGTTGTTCTGGTGCATGTAGAAGAAGAGTGGTTTAGAAAGAATCGAAGACGATTTGGCTCAAGCTCGTGTAGCGATTCAGAAAGCCATTCGGTCCCGGAGCTACGATTCCGATAAGGAAGAGACGTTCATACCCAGAGGAAATGTGTATAGGAACCATTACGCCTTTCATCAGTTAAAAGTCCTACACTCTCTAGAGTTCACTTGGAGTACATAGCTCTTATTTTTTATATACGGTTTGAGCATATATTAGTCTCCATGATTTATGTTAAGTGCATGCATGCATGCGTAACACAGATCTTTCCTGACTTTATTTCTGGGTACGTTACTTGGACAGGAGCCACATAGAGATGATGAAGAGATTCAAGATATGGACATACAGAGAAGGAGACCAGCCTTTGGTTCACTATGGACCGATGAGGGGCCTATACGGCATCGAAGGCCAGTTCATCGACGAGATGGAGGACAAGCGGAACCCATTCAGGGCTCGCCATCCCGACGAGGCGCATGCCTTCTTCCTCCCTTTCAGCGTGGCCAACGTCATCCGCTACGTGTACGAGCCGATCCTCACCATGAGCGACTACTCGCGCGAGAGATTGCAGAGATTCGCCCGCGATTACATTGGCGTCGTCGCAGATCGGTACGGGTATTGGAATAGAAGCGGCGGTGCTGATCATTTCATGGTCTCTTGTCATGATTGGGTAAGTACGATAGTACTCGCGCTCTTCGGTGTTTTATAATTTGTAAATATAATGTATAGGTAGCATTACTCGACATAGAAATTCTTATTAAATTTAGCTTTAACACTTTTATATATGTTCAACCCGAAAGTTTAAGCAAATCGGGTGACAGAGAATATATGTGTTCATGACCTATGGAAGCTCGAAACACTATATATTGAGTTCAAGATGGATGAAAAACAGCCAGCGGAGTTAAAAAGGACCGATGAGAGAATAGAGCATTAAGGTTTAATACCACGAAAATCCCTAAACTGGTGTATCTGTGACAAATTTACTCAAAATTAATTTTTTGATCACAAAAAATCCTAAACTTGGTACATCTGTGATAAATTTACCCTCCGTTAGTTTCCGTTAAATTTTATCATCAAATTGCTGAATTGGATGACACGTGGCAGTTGACGGGTGTACCACCATAGGGTTTTATACTCTGTTTGTCACGGGTTTACCAATTGTGGTTTTTTATAGTATTAATCAAATTTAACGGAAACTGACAGAGGTTAAATTTGTCATGAAAGTACAAATTTGGGATTTTTTGTTGTCAAATTTATCACAGGTGTAACAGTTTAGGTTTTTTCGTGGTCAAAAAATTAGTTTTTGGTAAATTCGTCAAAAATGTATCAGTTTAGGGTTTTTCGTGGTATTAATCCGAGCATTAAATATTGGAATTTATTCCATATTGTATCTAACGTTGGCAATTGATTAAAGAGAAAGCACAAGTCTTTATAAAGAAAGGGGATTTATTTTTTATGGCGTTGCTAAGGATATTAAACCAGTTTCGTACTGGTCAAAGTTACTATTGAATGGAATGTCCTGTTAAACTCGCCGTGAGGCCTTGCGTTAGTAAAAGTCTTGACATGATTGAACATAAAAGTCCGTTTAACTGAAACAAAAATAAAATTGCATGTACTTATTATATTGACCATGGGTGGAGAAAATGGTTACCATATGGAAAGTACAGGTAACTTGATATTTTTGTGGATTTATTGCGAATTCAACTGTTTTTATTATATATCATATTTCTAGGAGTGAACATAGTTCCAGATTAAAACCTGGGAGTGGAGAATTATAATGGTTGGAACCTGTTCGATTCCCAGTTCCATCGTATGTAGTAGGTTCCAGATTTCAAAAATTAGGGAATATGTTTCGACGAATAACTTTCAAGTTTTAGGTAGGTGAAAAATGAAACAAGTTTTTCTATTTTTCTTGGTCTATGTCTTCGCGTGATCCTGCGGTATTTCATGGCGTACGATGATAAGTGTATAATCTGGAATCATTAGTCTGAGCTTCCATTTTATGACTGAAACTTTTACTTTATGAATATTTCATATTCTTTGCTTGTCTTAAATATAAGTTGTAGTCAATGAATTGTAGTAGCAAGTGGCGGTCATTAAAGGTTATAATTCAAAGTAATCATTCAATTAATAATACAGGTTGAACTAGGATAAACCTTGAAACCTGTAACAGGGTAGGTTCCAATTAATAATACAAGTTGAACTTGGGTAAACCTTGGAACCTGTAACAGGATAGGTTCCAAAATATATATGGTAGGTTCTAGATTCCAAAATATGATAAACATATTCCAACGGGTAGGTTCTAGGTGAAAACTATACGGAACTTGAAACCGCTCACTTTACATATTTCATTGTGTTTTTTATTATAAAGGGTTAATACCACGAAAAACCCTGAACTGGTACACTTGTGACAGATTTACCCTAAACTATTTTTTTTACCATAAAAAACCCCAAACTGGTACATCTGTGACAATTTTACCCAGAACTATTTTTTTGACCACTAAAAACCCCAAACTGGTACACCTGTGACAATTTTACCCTGAACTATTTTTTTGACCACCAAAAACCCCAAACTGGTACACCTGTGACAATTTTACCCCGAACTAATTTTTTAATATTTTTATTTTTATTTTTCGAATTTTTTTAGTTTTTCTTTTCTTTTCTTTTTCCTTTCCTTTTCTTTTTTTCTTTCCTTCATCTTCATTGGACCAACAATGGATTGTTATATTGTAATTGATACCACAATAACGTGACACGCAACATAAATGCTACATTTTGACCCAAAAAAAAAAACATAAACGCTAAATGAAAGACTTTCTTTTATATGCATGAATTTTCATGCCAACCACTTTTTTCTACATTTAAATGTCTCGCGAAAAAGGCATTATATTGTTGTCGTGTCTTTCTTATTTTTGGGTGCAAGTGGATAGGCAAACTGTTGGGGTCCAACGTAGGCTTGTTACCTAAGCTTGGAGTACAGCTAATCAACAATTTCTATACGTCTTGCTTGCCAATTTAATTTAACAGATTAATTTACAAAATTAGTATATTTTATATATAAGATGAGAGATATTATATGTGCATGGCGATTCATAAATCAATATGATCACTTGAAATATATATTAAATAAAACGTGAGACATTTAAATGTAGAAAAAAGTGGTTCTCATGAAAATTCATGCATATAAAAGAAAGTCTTTCATTTAGCGTTTATGTTTTTTTTTTGGGTCAAAATGTAGCATTTTACGTGTCACGTTATTGTGGTATCAATTACAATATAACAATCCATTGTTGGTCCAATGAAGATGAAGGAAAAAAAAAGAAAAGGAAAGGAAAAAGAAAAGAAAAGAAAAACTAAAAAAATTCGAAAAATAAAAAAAAAATATTAAAAAATTAGTTCGGGGTAAAATTGTCACAGGTGTACCAGTTTAGGGTTTTTGGTGGTCAAAAAAATAGTTCGGGGTAAATCTGTCACAGGTGTACCAGTTTGGGGTTTTTGGTGGTCAAAAAAATAGTTCGGGGTAAATCTGTCACAAGTGTACCAGTTCAGGGTTTTTCATGGTATTAACCCTATTATAAATTATTCAGTTAAAAAAGTCAAATAGAATAAACATGAGAAATGACATTCCATTTTTTCACCTATCACATATTAAATTACTGCAATTTAAGTGTTTATATATACATATTCTTCTTTCAGTTTCATTTTTTTTTTTTGAATTGATAGTTATTTAATCCTGCAGGGTCCTGATATTTCATCAGCCAACCGTGAGCTCTACAAGAACTTCATCAGAGTCCTTTGCAACGCCAACACTTCAGAAGGATTCAGACCGAAAATAGATGTCTCCATGGCAGAAGTCTACTTAACTCACGAGGAACTCGGCCCTCCTCGCTTAGGGCTAGACCCTAGCAACCGCACGATCCTCGCCTTCTTCGCCGGGGGAGCGCACGGCTTCATCCGAGAACTCTTGCTCGTGCACTGGAAGGACAAAGGTGACGACGTCCAGGTGCACGAGTACCTTCCTGAGGGCCAGAACTACACTCAATTGATGGGGAAGAGCAAGTTCTGCTTGTGCCCCAGCGGGTACGAAGTAGCGAGCCCGAGGATTGTTGAATCGATTTACGCGGGATGCGTTCCCGTGATCATCAAAGATGACTACTGGTTGCCGTTCAGTGATGTTCTTGATTGGAGTAAATTCTCGATTCAGATTCCAGTTCAGAAGATAAAAGATATCAAGACGATTCTGCAAGCGATCCCGTTTGAAAAGTACATCAAATTGCAGAAGAGAGTAGTCAAAGTTACGAGGCACTTTGAGTTACATCGACCGGCGAAGCCGTTCGACGTGATCGACATGGTGCTTCATTCTCTGTGGCTGAGAAGGCTGAATTTAAAGCTGGAATAGATTGATTAGTCCTTGTCCTTCCTGTTCTAGCAAACAAAAACAAAAAAAAGGTTTTAAAGGAAATAATCGAAATTTTTGTTGTTGATTTGCAGGAAATAACGAAGGTTAGTTGGCCTTAAACCAAAATCAGTTCCATTTATCGAAAAATTAGTTAATATAATCAAGAGTTACTACCACGAAAACCCCAAACTGATCTATCTGTGACAAAAATACCCAAAATTAATTTTTTGACTACCAAAAACTCCAAACGGTTATACCTATGACAAATTTGTCTTAAACTAATTTTTTGATCACTAAAAATCCAAACTAATACATTTATGACAAATTTATTATCCGTTAGTTTCGGATAAATTAGATTAATACCACGAAAAAATTACAAACTGATACATTTGTGTAAAACCCCAAACTGGTACGTCCTTCAACCGCCACATGCCATTCAACTCAACAATTTGATAATAAAATTTAAAGGAAACTAATAGAGAATAAATTTATCACATGTGTACCAATTTGGAGTTTTTTATAGTAAAAAAATTAATTTGGAGTAAACTTATCACAGATGTACCAGTTTAGAATTTTTCATAGTATATAAACCCTATAATCAATAACCCATTGTCACTTATCCAAAAAAAAAAAAAACTGGCCCGGCCCATGAGTGCCCATGTGTCTGGCACTGCTCGGACCCAAAAGAGATGGCCAGATTTACTCTCAAAAGAGCTGAGCTAAAATAATGTGAAGGGGCAAAAAGATCTTACAAGGAGCCAAAACTACTCAAAAAAAAGCTAAAAATCGATCATTGGTGAGGAAAGTAGTACTAAAAGTATGTTCGGTACATTGTTCCTGCGATAGCTTCAGCTATGAAAATGGACGCGGTAGCATTTCTAAGGTACTTGACATACTCCTAACAAGTGGAGCACCTTCATTACTATAACAGCTTAAAACGGCTTTTAGGAAGTAACTTCACTCAGTTTTGAGGTGCCGCGGCTTTAAAATTATGTTGCCGAACACATAAGTAACAAAACTTTATATTGCAGCAACAGCTGACCGTGGCTCTAGCGCACCAGAGCTACAACACAATCATAGCTACCACACAGACTAGATAAATTGAGTAGTATCCAAAAGCATTGGCAAGTATAGATGCCCCTACGATCGATCAAAGGAAAGGTGAGGGATTTTTCTTCCAAGGCCAAAATTGAAGTTGGAGTTGAACCTGCAATGAACCAAATTTCATCAGGGACCATGAGAAGGGTGACGAAAATATGGCCGTGGTCACTGAAGCAGATAGTGTTGGACAGTTCTCCTGCATAAGAATTGTTAATGAACCAAAGGTGATCTCGGACAGATGTGTGGCAACCCCAAGCAACACAACTGATAAGCTCGGGGAACGCTGCTTGCTTTCATTGGAACCGCCATGAGGTCAAGACTGAGAAAGCCGCTTTATATATGCAACCCTCAGTTTGACTGATTTGCTATAGGATGAACCTGGGAGAACCTTTATGTGAGACTTTCCGGACATGTGACATTCGTTTCATCTTTAATTTTGTCCATCTGCGCAACTAGCAGCTTGTGAACACTTTGCTTTAGCTGCAGAATGGAGACATGAGAAGAATCTAAAGAATCATAACAAGGCAACGCAACTCACAAATCCCAAGCACCATAAAGACAGGGAAAAAGATTGATTATTCCTCATATTATCCAAGAAAGACCTTCAAATCGACAAGCAATTCAAACATAAGATACTACTGCAGACTTATGCAGCTTAATACATGCATTAGGTGTAAATTAACATGTATTAAGTTCAATATAGAGAAGTAAGGTTAGTATATGGCCTAAAAGGAAATAGTTATTAACCTCATTGAGCCCTTCTTCACTCTTCACGGAAACATGAATTGCTCCATCAGGTCCTTTTTTCCTGTACTGGACCATCTCATCGTCATCAGCTGTTGTATCTTCAGAAACAAAAACAACAGGGGACTCTTGCAACAGATCACTCTTGGATATAACATCAAGCCAGAGATGATCATTGAACCGTTCCTTGATTTCTTTGTATATCAAGTACTGCAGAATACAAAATCCAGAGTGTGTAAACTTATTTAATGTCTCCTGGAAGCATGCTGCAAACTATAAAAAGTGGAAAGGCGCACGTAGGGAAAAAGCGAAGCTCCTGTTTGAACTGAATTTGGCACAAACCTTATCATTGAGGAAACATAGTGTGAGGAATATTTGGGAACAGCAGCACAAACAAAGCTCAAAATTTCAGATAAGGGAAAAACAGACGGATTTCAATTTTTAGTGTTCAAGACCTAGCTTTTCTTGGAACTAAGAGAAATGATTACAGGCACTATTGCATGCCGATCAAAAAAAATTATAAATAAATATATATATTTGAGAACAAAGATTTAAAAAAATAATAATTTTTCTATGGCACTATCAACTGTAAGAAATAACAACACTTTTCCTTCCATAACCTTGCCTAGACATTAGACACGTGGTAATACAAACAGTGTTATTTCAACAAACAACATTTCTATGCTGTTACATCCAAGAACTAGCAAAGAATGGGATTCTTTTCATGCTAATAACATAGTCACGCAATCGATTCATGAGTCATTGTTCACCCAAGCTTGGCCGCTTGGCCCAATTTTTTTTGAGCCCGAGTCTATTCAAGTAGCTTGTCAAGCCAACTCCGGACCCCAAAAATACTCGACTCATGCACCTCACAAGCCTAATCCAGCAATTTATCTTTTAAAGTCTACATTTTAAGGTTTACAATTCTATCCTCTGATATCTATCAAACAAAATATACAAAGTAAAACCTCCACCCTACATGCTATTTTCCACTTTCACAAAAAAAAAAAAAAAAAATGAAGAACGAACACTGCAGTTCCTCTGTTCCATGGATTTTTCACTTTGGTCACTAAAAGTGTACAACTAGACAGGGCATCTTCTCCTCTTACTTGAGGTCATGAGTATTCCACCTTGAGAACCCCATCAATTCCCCATTTAAAGGACCAAACCCAATGCATCCTAGAGTTAGAGTTAAACTATTCCTCCATTCATACTCCATCTCCATTGTGACTATGACAAGGCATGTTACGCCCTAATAACCACCAAGAGTTGGGGAGCGGGGTACTGAAACTGATTTTGTAAAACTAACCCCTTCTAAAAAAATTGGTTTTGGACCCACAGGTGAACAAGCAATATAAACAGCGAAAATCAAGAAGTTCAGGGAAAGAGAAATTGCGCGCTTGATTTATAGAAGTTCATCACTTCGTGCCTACGTCCTCTCTCCCAGCTCTAGCAACTCAATCAGGCTGAATTCAACTATATTAGCCAGGAGCACAAATACCACCTTGCAACTGGAAGGAGTTCCTTGAGCTAACTGTTCATGAGGTTAACTCAAAGCAAAAAACCTTATGATAATCATGTCTGTCTGCTCTCCTTGTAGTTATGTTTCCATAGGTACCAACACCAGCTTCCACTCTTTTGGCAGCGTTCGACAGCTTTCAACCTCTCATCAAAGATTCCCAGTAGTTCCATCATGTTTTCGATAAGCCCTTTGATTTCTTCAGGAATGCTCTTGATTTCGTCCAGTGATTCATGAGGAAGATGCCGTGTAGAAGCTCTGGCACCAGCTGCCCAAAAAGCGGAAGCTGGTGTAGGTACCTACAGGAACTTTATCCAAGCAGAGCAAACAAATGAATGATTATCAACAGATTTTTAGCTCTCAATTGACTCTCAAGAACCATCAGCTCAAGGAGCTCCCTCCGGGTTTTCAAAGGAACCATAGGCAAGAGCGAGCTCGTGCAATCCAGTTCATCTTCCACCAGAAAATTGAATTCCTAATGCCTTTTGCTTAATCCATCTACCTTAGTCTAGGAGAAAACCTTTTGTCTCTATGTACAACTGCCAAATATTTACTTTGCTCGACTTTCATACTAAATAAAGTGGATGCTTCCTTTATATGTTTCTCTCTAATGCTGTGTTCTTATCTTGATTGTATTTTGTGTTTCAATATTGTTTATGCGACCAAAAGAGGGAGAAGCATCTAGCAAGGGGGAGCTTTATCTTCTTCTTTTTTAAAAAGAGTAGTTTGTTTTAAAATCCTTGGATGAATGCATTTGCTGGTATATTTGTTGTAATAAACATATAGAAACATGTTGAAGCATAAATTCATTTTGGGTCTATAAAACTTTGGCTCTGCACTTTTGCTTCTGCAAACTTATAACATGCACACACATAACTCATTTATGTTTGAAAGCTATGTGTTTTATGAGTTTTTTCATCATCCAAATCCCCCGAGGGATGTTTTCCAACAAGGCGTTATTCTCACATTTCAGATAGTCGGAGTCTTCAACCATCCTCAAGCCGATGTTCAAGTTTCCGATAGATTCTCAGCTAGTTCATTATTTGATATTTAGATATTCTCTACCTTTTGTTTTATATTATTCAACGACTTCTACATTCACAACTAGATAGTTTTGCATGGTGAAAACTTCAGATTTACGATTTTTTCCCCTTCTGTGAAGTAGTTTTCTCGATATTTTCAGCTCTATAATGTTTCTTCATGTCATTGCTGCTATATTCTTGCTTTATGGGTTCTTCTCTCTGCTCCGACATGATATTTGCTTCTTGTTAATGTCAAACGAAATGGACTTCCAAGAAGAGTGCTTTCTCGAGTGTTGTATAGGTCAGTAGTGGACTTTCAAGAATTTTGCTTAATTATTTTAATAAATGTTCGAATCTTATGGTTTGAGGCGGAAGTTGCATTCCGGGAAGTTGACAGGATTCTTTATAATCCAATTTCAGGTTTTCTTTTTTTGGTGGAATGTCAATCAACCTGTCGATAAACGCAACTTAGGACCCACTTTCTTCTTTCTCCATTTATCAATAAAAAATCTTGGGCTCAACTCTGGCCTGGAAGAACTCTATTTGGGCTTGCGAATGCTGAGTGTAGTATCAAGTCAAGCTCGAGTAGGGAAGTAGATACTTGATCAAGCTAGATTGAGCTTCAAGCTTTCAAATCAAGACAAGTTCAAGTATCTAATAGTAACAACTCGACTTGGCTCAATTGCACCCCTAGTCATAAGCAAATGACTTCCAATCGACTTCTAGATAGTTATGTGTCCTACTCCACAGCCAGAATGAAATGGTAACGTTAACATATATGGATAAAATACAAGAATAGGAAGAACATATAGCAAAATGTATTTGAAAGAATTTAAAGATAAAAGCAACAGGAGTTAAAGATGTCATCACCTCTTTGTGGAAGGTCATGGGATAGGATTAGGATCTAATAAAATCGGACAGCATATAAAGTATATGTGTGTGTGTTTGTGTGGAGGTATGTATATTTTTCTTTATAAACAATCGTGACGGAGATACCTGATTTGAGGGCGACATTCCACATTCTCCAGTGAGATCGTGCACATAGAGTATTGCTGTCGGCAAATGTGATAGCACAGCAAGTGTTAACTTCTCCAAATTATTCCTGTCTTCTGCAGGTCAACATAAGAAACTGTTAGCACATATAAAAGTTTCCTTTAAGGTGGAAACACAAAATAAGAAGAAAGCTGATTCTCTATATGGAACCAAGGGCTACAACTGTAGCTGGACAAACTACGCTGACAAAAATCATGTTATTCTGTCAGAAAAGCCACATCTTTTGGTGAATTTGTGTCCTATGTCATCCCGGAAAGCTCAAAAATTTTTGTTGGACTATCTACAGCTTGCACAGACTAGGCACAACCATCAATTTAGTGTCTTTTTTTGACATTGTGCGCAATCCACATTGACAATGTTACATTGCTTATTCCAAGTGACTCACCATCATGTCTCCTTAGCAAACCAGGGGTGTCTGTCACCTGCAATCAATTCCAAAAAATCATCAAATACAACATGAAAATCAATTGAGCACAACTCGGACCTGAGCAGTTTACTTAATTAATTCCGAGCAATCCATAACCCACCAACATGTCCAATCTTGGAGATGACAATGAAACATTACAGAAATAGTAGCTCTAACATCATCTAACTAATAATACAGCAGCTTCAAGATTTGCAGCTCCTGGCTGTTTTCCAAAGTTTCCTCAACTTAAGGACTGAAGGCCACAATCAACAAAACAGATAACACCTGTTTTCATATCCCTCACCATTTTCATCCCATGATCTTCCAACAAATTAGTTAAAAACACGGCAGCAAGGCAAAAGTAGCCAAACTCTCATTTGCTATCAGAAGAATTGCTTGTGCAGTCAGGGACCATTTTTACTGTCCCAAATTTCCTCAGCTTAAAGTACGAAAAATTAACAAGAGTCCAGTTTTTGCATCTCTTATCATTCTAATATGATCTTCCACGTGAAAAAGGTAAATCTGTAAAGTGAAATAGTGTCCATAAACCCGCTTTCAGTGTGTCAAGATTAGAAAACTGTGATCTATACATCTTTGAACAAGATTTGATCTTTTACGGTCTGCAGCAAGAAAAGAAAGGAAAACTACAAGAGATAATAGACACAAATAAAAAAAAGCTACCAGAAAAATATCAGAACCACCACAAAAAGTCCAGGTAAAAGTTTCCCCCCAGTATTACACAGCGCGAGCATAACGGAAACTTGCTCCTCCATCTCCTGGCTCCCAGGAGAAAAAGAAACCCTAGTTATCATTCCACTATGATGAAGTAGAGCAATCGCAGGTAGTCAAGTGAGGGGCTTATCAAAGACAGAAAAAGATAGTCAAGTTCAAAGACTAGACCTGAAAATGCTGGAAGTTTAAAGCAATGTGACCCATAAGAATTCCTCGTGTCGTGAAGGGGTAGTTGCAGACCTGAGCATAGAGAAGAAGTGATGACGCAGTCTCAACAAACATCAATGAGAGAGCAATAGTTTTTTGAGAATAATATCCAGTCTAGTCAAACCAGATTCAGATGCAAATACTTATCAAAGGACACACAATTTAAGGTTCCCTTTTATTTACGATATACTCTAAGTTATGATATGTCTGATGGAAGGGTTCAATGATTGAAATGCAAATATTTCCAATCGAGATCAGAGATATGCATGCCAGCACATCCACAGATATGAATATCATGCACCGCAACCAAAGTAGACAATAGGGAAACAGTACAAGAACACCTCAGACTACTATATTCTGCTCAGGATGAGCATTTGCACAGTCACACTAAAGAGGACGCCAAAAGGAGTACAAGAAGAAGATTTCCATGCAAAAATAAAAGAGAACGATAATGGTCTCACAAAATCCAAACCAAAATAACCAGACCATACATATAAAGAAGCATATACTAATTCTTTCTGTCTGACAAAATTGTCACGCTGAATAAATAAAGGATATCTCTGCAAAGCTAAGATATTGATTGTACCTCAGGCTTTCCTGTCGAGAGTATACGGACCAAAGAGGACTTTCCTACGTTTGGAGCTCCAACAAGACAAAGAGTTGGGGTTTCAAGATCAATTACTGGCATTGCCCTCAATGTCTGCAAAAGTATTCATAATTGGAGATCTTAAGTAGCCCTCTATTAAACAACTAACAAAAGACCTATAAGCTGAACATTTTCATGCAAAAAGCAGAACAGCAGGCCAATTCGCCCGGAATGAACTAATGAGTACAGCTAAAACTGAGCTAATGACAGAACTATTGAACTCTATTCTTCACATACAGTATAATGTATAATTCCACCAAAGGTATTGTAAATGAGCTGGAGAGTGTCAGTTCAAATTTCCTCATATCAACATAATCCATCAAATACATGTACACAGACTTTATTGGTGCAATTAACAATTATCACCAGCATTTCCATAAAACTTAAAAAGAGTCGTCACAACAGTTTACTAACGACCATCACCAGCAGACCTTGTTGATATTTTAGCCTAAGAGTTCAGGAAATATTCATTTTATATCAGTCTCTTGGTAAGTTAAGAACTCTTTGGCAGAAGTAATATTGAAACACCAATTAACAATACAAAAAAGGCTAACAAAAAAGTATAAAGAGGAAAGAAGAGAATAAAGAAAATGGAGAAATGATATTTACAGTTGCTCAATACTCCCCAATCAGCAAATCAAACAACAGCTGTATAGAAATACCCCCGACTCTGTAGTAAGAACTTTCACATCAAGCGGACATAATGCATGCATAAACCAGGATCCTATGGTTAACAGAGCCAGGCATACAAAACCACACACGTGCCAAAGGTAATCTTATTGAAAGTTGTCAAGTTACTGAATGTAATGGCCCTGGTATAAAAATGTGCAGCAGGTTGATGTAAGAAAGAAAATAGCATTATCAAAATGCTAAGCACCTTTGCAATGTCCAACAACTCATCGATAGCCTTCCCTTCGTGATGAAAAATTTCTTCGAGTTTTCCCATACCTCCACTCAACCTTTCCTCTGCTTCTCTCTTGGACAAGGACTATACAGTACATATCAAGTTAGGTGACATATACTGAACACAACCATAGCAATTTCACTACTATTTGCAGAACCGAAAGCAGATAAATCATGACAAGAGAAGGACAAAATACATAATCCAAGTATCAACCTCATCAGGGAAAAGGAAAAGCTATAATAACTGCCAGTTGCCCACCAAAGGTGCAGAATGAGATACTATCATTACTGAAGGATACTAAATATAAATTTAGATATTTACCTTAGCACAGAGAGAAGCATGTTCTTTACCCACAGATGTCACCTTCTTCCTCAAAGTATCTACTTTCATCAATACCTGCCACAGAAAGTGTGTGGTCATAAGACTGACAATCCCAAACCCCTAGAAGAGAACTTCACTGACATTGTATAGCGTCCACCTCATCTATATCATGTGATGTTCTATTCATAGTGCATATAACACTCTGCGAAGTCCTACTTGTTTAAGTCTCAGATTACCGATTTTACAATGTGTGTAAATAATGAGGGAAAAGGGAGCCCCCTGCACTACTGCATCCCATCTAATGAAAATGGAAAAAATGAACTATTCATGCTTGTATAGCTAAGATGGGTGAAAGAACAGAATGATGGAGAAGAGGTAGTGAGAAACAATTCATAGAAATATACATAATCCTATTAGATGTTTCACAATGACATTAAGAGGGCATCTGATGTGAAAATATTCTTCAACAGCACTACACTAATTAAGATGGTATAGTGCTTACCTCAATATCACCAAGGAAAAAAGAAAACTAGGTGTTCTGTACACATTGAGAGATTACTCAAAAAAAATACTGCTAGTCCTCCGGTAAATAAAAGAAGGAACAAAATACTTTAGTCAAGAACTACCTCTTCATAATTTCCATCTCCAAGGGTCAGTTCAACTAGTGATCTTTCGTAAGGGTGCAAATATTTTTTTTTCGGAAAATTATCAACATAGACTTTTAAGGGAGCCGCCAACTCCTGTAGATGGAGACAATGCCAAAATCACAGCAGTTAGAAAACTTGCTCACACAAGACAAAAATGGCTTCATTCACATATTAAACGCTCAAGATAGAAAATTAATGGCTAGCTTACTTTCATAAGTGCATCAAGTTGTTTTGCGCCCTTGTTCCTTTCTCTTTTCGCAACATTTGCAATACCTATCGATATAGATGAATTCATAAATCTTAGCATTGCATGCAGATTAAAAGAGGCTAAAACTTTCCACTTGGACTAAAAAGAATGATCCTGGTTCATTACCTTTTGTAGGTGATATCCTTTTTGCCTTCCTGAGAGCTGAATAGAGAATGTCAACTGAAGGCATCACCATTGGTAACTTTTGAAAAGCACCAACATTTTCATTTTTTATGGACACTTTATCCTAACACGGTTACCAGAGAATTGGTGAGATTAACATAGGGTATCAAATGACAGTTTATTTAAAAGAGTAAAGGAAAGCATTGACCCATGGCCATAAAGAATGAAGCGCAACACTAGAAAACATTAGCACAAAAACGGAATAGAATAATGGAAGCCCCCCAAACACCCCCCTCCTCCTCCCCCCCCCCAAAAAAAAAAGAAAGGCCTACTATTAAGAGAACATATCCAGAAGTAAAAGAAGGAAAACAAAACTCCATTCTAAAGGGTAAAAACCAACTACTTATGGAGAGATCAAGAAAATCCCACCGCAAAGGAAAATGAACACCTACAGCAATCCAACCAGCACAACCCAAGCATTCATGAAAACTGACTCATTTATTTAATCCAAAGGCACCAGTATCAACTGCCAGAGAGCTTAAAGAAACTAATGCAATTTTGTTCTTAAGCCCATATGATCCCTCTATAAAATTATTAGAGACTTAAGCAACTTGCAGCAAAGCAGGGGTGCAGGGATCTCAAAGTTTTCATGTTTGCAGCTTTTGAGTTGTTCTGATTCGGGAAAGAAAGCAAGGTCAAATTCAAATGTAATAAACATAAGCCTAAAATCCTGCATAGTAAAGCCTGTTATTAGCACATCAAAGAATTCGATCTGTCCATGTTATAAGTAAATTTAAAAATGACTCCCATTTAATCTTCTCGGTTCTTGGCAGTGCTTTCTTTTCTCAGTATAATTGCTAGAAAGAGCACCATATTTATGCAGTAAGTGGATTTCATGTGCGTCAATAGAGTAGGAACACAAAAACATAGCATAAAACATATATTATGGGGGAAGCTTCAAAGAATCCTAGTTAAAGTTAGCCTTAGAAAATGCTGAATCACAAAATGGCAGACTCGACTTTTATACAACCATCAACACAAGACCAAAGTCAGGACCACATTTTGATATACTATTCTGCGACTTAGCAACGGAATAACAAGCAGAAATGTCAAAGACGCATAGATCATCTGAAATTAGAATTAAAGAATTTTCAGTGGCCAGACCTATACATTATCAGATATCAGTACCATGTTGGGTCTGATGAGCCAAAATGATCAGTTAGCCTAGCAAGAGGAAGGACCAAGTCATCGTTTGGTCTTCCCGTGATTCCATGAAAGACGGTATCATAATCCAAGGAAGAAAATGGCTGAGAACCTCTCACCTAGTAACTAGAGGCATCCGCAACACATGAGCTTAGCATAAGGGGCCAAGTTTTAGGGATCCCAACACCACGTTTACCCTGAGTTACTGATGCTTCTTCACTTACTCGTGCAGAATGACAAAGTCAGTTGGTCCACTCAGGGTGGATCCTACTGGGTGCAGTGCAGCAATAAGAACTCTACCCATCTGAAATCATTTTTATAAGGCCTAGCAAATTCAGCTCCAACTTAGTGCCTGGATCATTGTTAGGATTCAGAATTCGCACATGTCTTTTCCCCTTAAATATTGTCCATGTATCCTTCTACCATAATCGCAACAATTTAAGCAATCCCAGTTCCCCTAATAAGCATCAATGTCATACTTGGATTCGACACAAAGCGTAGATTGTTAATACAAAAAACTACGAAAATGCACAGGATAAGAAGCACATCCCCTAGCCCCTTCACCTCCAACAGCTACTTCCCATCATTACATCACGAAATAAGTCAGGAGGTACCTTGGATTTCGTATTTTGTTCAGTTTGGGTGGTGGGGAGATAGCTTCCTTTCACAACCTCATAAGTGTTTGTTTGCATGCTCTTGCAGAAGCACACCATTGGATAGACACGGGTACGATGCAACAGATATTTCCCTGCACTTGGAACCAGCTTGAGGATAAAAAATCTGTACTCTCCACTTGAATACTAGAGAACAAACATCATTCTTCCAGTAACAGGGGATCGAACAAAAAAGCCACAACCCAGGGAGCGCCCAGGGAGCGAAACGGCAAAAGAACGACGCAACAGCGCCGGAGACAGAGAGACAGATGGAGGGTGTGCGTCTGTACCGGGTAAGTGCTTTGAATTCCTCAGCAGAAACTTGGAAGAAGGCAGCTGCCACTGCTGTAGGAGACCGTAAACACCGTTCATTCTGCCTCTCCGCCAAATGGGTCTTTGCGAATTGAGAAGAAGATATCACGAGGGGCGCCGGTGTGCCTCTGTGTATACGGTCATCCGAAGCTTGAGCTCTTCTTCTTCATGGCCGAGCCCCGAGCGGTACAATGGCGCAGCGAGCATCGTATGAAAGAAAGGGCCCTCTTTGCGATACAGAAAAGAAAGGTGGAAGAGAGATTACGGGGTGAGGAGACGGTGGAGATTTGTGCGGGCGGGCTCGGAGCGGGCCGGGTCGGGTCCCAAGATCCGGCCCAAATTCTTGTCCGATCCAACTCATCGTCAAAAAAAAAAAATTCCATATGGTAAAAGAAAAAAAGGTAAGGATCGAAATGAGGATTGAGGATTAATTTAGCAGTCACTGCATTTGGGGACACATCAGAATTCAAAGGTGTCCATTTGTGGCCCAAATCAGGTTAAGTCTACTCATCGGCATATCTGATATTTTCTATAGAAATGTTACCAAATCCCGAGCTTAATTAAGTCAACTCATCCTCAATTTTTTTTTCATTAATGACACGAGATGAGTAGGCGGCTAATGCTTAGGGATGCGAGACAACTTCCTTACACCACTTCTCTTTCCCTCTTTATGGTATCTAGCCAAATGGCAGCTGGATTTCTTAATTTGCCAAAGATATGGCTTAGATGAATCTGATCATGTGCTTAAAAGGCTCAAAGGGAGACAGGAGAAGGAACAACTCCCTAATAATTCTTAGAAATTTTGAGAACTACCATAAAAGATAATTTATTAAGAAACATTTCATCAAAAAATTTCGCAAAATGGGATTGTGCAATTGTTCCCTTTTGGCGATTAAACAAGCTAATTAATTGTCTATTAGGATGCGTTTGTTTTATGAAAAACTCAATAATAAAGGAAAATAATTTCTTGAAAAGTATTTTCTAACAATATAGTTCGTTTTCCTTTGTTTGGTGATATATGATTGAAATCGTTTTTTGATATTTGGATTTCATTGGAAAATGATTTCAATCTCATGATTTCATCTCAAGAAAAAAATCAAAATTTTTAGATAATTGTATTTTTATTATTTTTAAAAAATCGAATTTTTTTAAAAAGAAGAAAAAATAAAATAAAATAAAAAGAAAGAAAGAAAAGGGAAAATATTTAAAATAATTAAAAAACTAGATTTTTAAAAAAATTAAAAATAATTAAAATTTCGATTTTTTTTAAAAATATTTTATAAGAATAAAAAAAAGAGAGAAAAGAAAAAGAGAAAAAATAAATAATAAAATATTAACAAATTCAAGATGAGCAATTCCGAAAAGTGTTTTCGCTTTCTTAGATTAGGGAATTCGCTTTCTTAATTTTATACATGAATGTTTTCCTTAACCGAAAAGTATTTTCGGTTGACTTATCATTTTCAACGAACCAAATGGGTGAAAGTCCGAAAAAAGGATTCCCGGAAAATACTTTTCCTTAAACAAACGCACCCTTGCGTCACTTTTATTTCCAAAAATGTCCCTCGAAGTTTTGATACATCATGTGAGTAAAAGTTCTCAATATGTCTAGCATTGCCTAGCATTTCATGATTAAAAAAAAAACAGATCAGTGAGTACATGGCTTCTGCAAAGTGTAATTGTTTCATTTTCTAGACTACAGCTACAAAAAAGTGGTCTTCATTTTCTTTAGTTTGATTAAGCTATACATGATATTGATTGGTAACTAATCTCATATGGCAATTCTTATCCCAAATTAAAAAAGAAGAAAATAAACGGTAATATGGTTGGAGCAAGCTGGCAATCCAATCCAATATCCTCTATTCTTCGTCCATAAATATCTGAATGACGTTGATGTCGGAGCAACATATCCCACAATAATGAATTCATTAGCTAAGCTCATATTTGTTATTCTTTATTACTTACGAGTTGTGTGCGAGATGTTTGGGGCAAGACATATGTTGTGATCCGTAACAATTTGCAGGCCGAAAATACTTTAATAGTTCATTACCAATCCAAAGACAATGATCTCGAGGTCCATGATATAACGAGCAATGGCTCATGGAAATTCTCCTTTCGACCTAATATCTTTGGGAGAACATTGTTCTTTTGCAGTTTTGCCTGGCCGGGTCAATTCAAGTGGTTTGATATATATGTGCAAATAAGAGATTACAATGCTTGCTCCGTGTGTCTTTGGCAAATCTACACCACTGGTCCTTGTAGGTTCAACCAAAAGACCTCAAAGATTGATGCTTGTTTTCCGTAGAATCCTCCTACACAATTAGGCAAGAAACCTCTTATCTAAATGTGTGAAAGAGTAAGATGATATTGTTAGCTGCTTTATTACCGTTTAAATGGAATAAAGACCATCTTATTTATCTTCTAAATATTTATATACGTGTTTCTTCTAATATCCCCATCACGTCGATTTTGATTGGCATATATTTCTTTATAGTGTTGTCCCTTCATTTTGTGTCATTTTATTTGTATTTATTCATTTATGATCACCACCAAAACGTCTCAATGTCAGTCTTTTTTAATAAAATAATGTCAGCAAGTGTCAAGCCTTATCGGTTTCGAACTTGTAATGCCGTCGTCGTTTCAAAAACTAACACCCTTGAGTTCGTAAGTACATGAAACAAAATTCATTCGAGGGACACTTTTTTGAGTTGACGGTATTATGGGCCATTAATCTAGGAGGGATCCTAAAAGCAACTAGAGATTATCGAAGGACTGTTCAGGTGTGGGCCTTGCGAGAGGAATAATCACATTCTTAACTCTGACTTCTAATAATGATTCTATTCAACATGAAGAAGTTGAAGATAGTAGGCTATATTTGGTGGAATTCGAAATGATTCTATGCTTCTACGAGAGAATGGTGATGCAGGAGCATCAAGGTCCAATGAAAAGACGACATCTTTGATGAAGTTTCTAGAGGTTGAAAAACAAAGACTCCTTTTCAAAAGTGCCAAATGTTTCCTTTTTCAAGTTAATTTCCTATTTTGAATAGGTTTTCTCGTTTAACATTTCCTAATTTGATGTTTCCTAGTTTGATATTTAAGGTTTCCTCATTTTTTGTTTCCTAGTTTAATGTATTTTAGTTTAAGGTTTCATAGTTTAGTATCCTAGTCCGTCTATAAATAAATAAAAGGTGAACTATCCGTTGTATCCGTTGCATGCAAAAAGATACGTGAGTTAATAAAACAGGAGAATTTTTCACAATTGATCTTTTCGATTCCTTAATCCAATTCATATTGGTGGTGAACCTTAAAATCCTATAATTTTTTATCCAATTCGTTGGTGGTAAATCTTCGAGTTTTTTTTTATCCTTGTTGATGGCGTATTCCTTTATGCCTTAATGGTGAACTCTTCTATCCCAAAATTCTTTTTTTTTTCTGCAAACACATCAAACACTTTCTCAAATACATTCAGCAATCGCACCTAATCTCACCACAAATCAAAGGGTACGGAACTGCCACTATTGCATGTAGAATACAATGGATGTATCTCTTGGCCCAAAAGTTGCAAAATAGCCCGTTGGAGATTAGTTTCTTTTCTTTTCAGATTGTAATTGTAACACTAGAACTTACGATGGTGCACCTGAAATTGTTATGAGACAATCGTGAATGATAGTTTTGGAAAATTTGAAAAAGTCCCGAAACAAGGTGTTTTAATTGGACTCTGAATGCTGGATTTATGACAAAAGATTGAATAATAATTTAATGGAGAAACGAACATAACTAAGAAATGACTCCTATACCTCAAAGGATGTCACGTCCCGACCCGGAATTACGATTGATGATTAATGACCGAACATGACCCGAACGGAACCGTGACTCGCAGAAATAAATTAGTGCGTCCCGTTCATTTTAATCATTACGCAAGCGAAAGCAAATAGAAATAAACGAGACAACATGAGTCATATAAGCAAACGTTACACATTATATTTACATGATCCGTGCTTATTTTGACAAGCCCTTCTTTTGAGCCCACGCTTATATTTTACATGCCCCTTTTAAAGGCAGTTCCACACACGAGCCAACTATGAACAAACAAAACTTTGGCTTGGTGATCATATTCATACTACTCTATTCCCTCACACTCCCGTCCACTCATGCTATTTCTCCCCACGACCCGTCCGCCAGACCGCCTCACGCCCCACCCGCGGCTTGCCCCGGAACCGGCCCACCCATATCGTTGAATGGACTATTGAACCCGCGTAGGGGTCCAACCCAATCTCCGTTAGCCAAACGGTACCATGCCACATACGTATGAGGGACCAATTCCTCGTGACCCTCATCCACCATCACGTACGTGGTGATCCTACAATAGGCGTGGCCTTCACGAGCATCAATCACGGTGAGCAACTCCGCTCTCATCTCGATGGGGTTGCCAAACTGGGTTGGGAGAGACGCCATACTACAGACTTGAAAAGAGAAAAAACAATAGGGAGTGAATCGGGGAAACTCAATAAGTGAAAACACTAATACCAAGCGAGGATGAAACAATCGCCGTTCACATAAGTCGGCTCTTACCGTACCGGCATCGATAGCAAATCAATAGCAAAGTTAGCTACGAAACAACAAAAGAACATCAAACATGATTGTCACACATGAACATCACTTGTCAAAGAAAGAACAAGCTATAATCGACCAAGTAACCGAGAAACGGCCCAAGCAAACCATGTTACAACGTATCGCAACTTCCTTTCCCGATATTAGGGAATTCACTTATACAAACAAATAAAACAAGATCCTTACCAAAAAAACAAATAAAACAAGAACTAGAAAGTGAGAGGCGTGTGGTGAACACGAGAGTCTCGGGCGGTTCTCGGGCAGCTCTCTAGCTTGGCCGAATCAAAAGAAAAGGGAGAATCGGTGGGGTTTTCTCTTGGGCGTGAACAAGGAAAGAAGAGAGCAAATGGCCGGTGGTGTGTGTGTGTGTGTTTGGGCATAAGAATGAAGGGAGAGATGGTGATGGCGTGAATGGTTCTTCTTCACGTGAGCTTCTTGCTCTATTTATAGAAAAGCCAAGCTTGAAGAAGAAGCAAGGCAATAATGGTAGGGCTTCCAAGTCAAAGAAGCCTTAATGGCATTAATGAACTATGGCCAAAAATTATGATGAAGTGTCATTAAAAGACTTTAATGCGGCCTTATCTCCTCTTGGTCTCTCTCTTTCTCTCGGCTTCTTCCTCTCTTCCTTGATCGAAT